TTTGGATTAATGAAATCGGCTCTTTCTAAAGATTTTCCACTGTCAATCTGAGTCTGCGTGGGCGTTCCTGCCCCTGTGCTCATGCAGGTGCTTACAGGGATCCAGGAGGATGTGGAGACCACCAGCCAGGTGTCATCCCAACGGGATCACCAGGAATGTGGGTCACCAGGTCTCTGCCCAACGTGGGTCCTCTGATGGGGGATGAAGGTGGAGCAGCGCACGGAGCTCTTCCCAAACTCGGGGCACTCACAGGACTTCCCTCACCGGTGGCAGCGTTGGTGTCAAGTGAGAGCTGCCGGAGAAGCTCTTCCCACACTCAGGACACTCGTAGGGCCTCTCCCCAGTGTGGATGCGCTGGTGGGTGACGAGGGTGGAGTTGTACTTGAAGCCCTTCCCACAGTCAGGGCAGCGGAAGGGCCTCTCATCTGTGTGAATCCGCTGGTGCAGGAGGAGATTGGAGCTGTTTTGAAACCTCTTCCCGCATTCAGGACACTCATAGGGTCTCTCCCCGGTGTGGATGCGCTGGTGGCAGATCAGTTCAGAGCTGCAGCTGAAGCCCTTCCCACATTCCCCACACGCGTAGGGCCATTCCCCAGTGTGGATCAGCCGGTGACGGATCAGGTCGTGGCTCTGGCTGAAGCTCTTCCCACACTCCAAGCACTTGTAGGGCTTCTCCCCAGCGTGAAGCTGCTCATGAACCTCCAGCTCCACGCCCTGGCTGAAGCTCTCGGTGCCTTCATGGCACAGGGTGGGTCTTTTCCCCTCAGAGCACCCTGGGCTGGATTTGGAGCCCCTCCTTGCGCAAGATCTCTGGGGCTTTTCCTTCTCGTTGGATTCCTGTGCTCTGGAGCTGCTCAAAACGGCCTCTTCCATGAGGTTCTGTTGGGACGATTTGTCCTCCTTGGTCTCCATCCTCAGCTCATTGTCTGGGGGAGGAAGGACAAGGAGAGGGGGGGATTTGCTTCATGCCAGAGGGAAGGGGAATGAGATCTTCACAATCCATCCCCAGCAGGACGGCGTCAGCAGCGGGGTTTTCCTGCAGCCGCGGCGATGCTGGGCTGGGAGATGGAGCAGGAGAGAGGGGAAAGGAGCAGTGCTTTCCTCCTCACCTTCCTGGGGGTCCTGGGACATCTTCCTCAGAAGCCTCCTTCTCTATGCAGCCAATGGTTGAGAATAGGAAATCCTGCTTGGGGGAAAAACAAGGGATGAGCAATTTAGGTTTGAAGGTCCCTCTGCCCAAGTCTATCTCCAGACTTCTCTCCTTATTATCTGCTTGGGCGCACAAGGGGGTCCAAGGAGTCCCCCCTCCCCCTCTCCAGGCTGTTGAGGGTGCCGAGAATTGTGGCACTGCCCCCTCTCTGGGCTCCCCACTTTGAGATCCTGGGGGACACAGGGCTCTGCTCCTCCACAGTGCCGGGGACCCCCTGGTCCCACTATTACCCCTCTCTGTTCTCCCTACTCAGGGGGTCTCAAGGTTCCCCCCTCTGGCTCTGGGTTGGAGGTGACAGTGCCTGACCTGGGCTGACCCAATCCCCACTGTGGGGAAACCCCGCATCCACCATCCCCCTGTCAGGGCTCTGTTGGCAGCCATCACCAGGAGCCCCCAATGTCCTCCCCAAGGGGCATTTTCTGCTCAGCTGTGGAATTCTTCAACCTGGAAACAGCCCCCTGCCCAGAAAAACAACCCAGGGACCCCCCAAGATATTT